GGACGGCTCGAGGAGTGTCTAACGACGCCGTAAGTCTTCGACATTTGTCAGAGAAGTGGTTTCGACATGGGTGCGGAACGGCCCACCTGCAGTGTCTAACGACAACACCACTGCGAGCGGAGTCGCGGAGGGTGCGGGAGAGGGGAGGGTTGATGACACCCGCCGCGATCATGGGAGGAAGGATGCCAGGGGGGGGGGCGATGATAACGACGACCGTCCGGTTTCGGCGATGGTGAAGAAAGGGGTTAAAGAGGATGATCTCGAAGAGAGGTCGAAGTTGTGGATGGACTGCGATGCATTCTGGGGTCAGGGACCAGGGAAGCCATTGAGGGAGGCGGTAGGCGATTGCACGGACTACTTCGTCGCCATCGCCAACGGGGATGCAGGAGCGAAACCGCCTTCGATGCTCGTAATGCCGCCGAATGATGTGCCGCGCTTCAAGATCGACGACCCTGCGCAGCGTGAACCGGCTCTGCGCGGAGCGCGCAACGTGGAGAAAGTGGTGCTGCGTGCCATCCACGGCTGGATCTTCAAATCGTCGTCGAGGTCGACAGGCTTCGCTCGTGCAGAATCGTACATGACATTGGACTTCGCAACAGACGTCGCGCGGGCAGTCTGGCAGGCTTTAGAATGGTCGAGAGTCGTTTCCCCTGGCCTTGTCTTCCACACGCTGGCGATGAAGATGGACGTGCCTCTATGGTTCGCTGGAGTGAAGATTGTGGATAGGCCCGAAGACGACGACATGGCGGCGCGGCAGGAGGCGACAGTTCTGCGCCTGGCAGACTGCTGGACAGATGCAGTTTGGTGCGGGCAATGGGCCGACGGTGGCCGTGTGAAACAGGATAGGTTGACGCGCCTTGCGGATTGTCTTCGAGTTCTGTTGAGCGCGTGCATGTGGGTCATGCGGATGGGCGGTGATGACGAACGCTCGCACTACGAGGCATCATTCTACGCGTCCATGGTCGCCAAACCGACACTCGTAGCGGCGGGCTCCTACATCTTCAACTGGCGGCGACACATCGTTGACAGCGCCAACCTCGTCTTGGATCGTTTGGGGAAGGCCCACCTCACGCTGGGAGATTACCCGCATTGCATCCCCAAATGGAACGCTTGCGGATTGGTTTTCGGTCACAACGCGGCCCTCAAGAATGCAGCAGAAGCAGCAAAACACGGGTGGATCGCCAGCGGCCCACCGGCGGATGACGATGGCGATGACGAGAAGTGACACGTGGTTCATCCGCAAGGCCGCGGAGGGATGGGGGCGACGGTGGGGGCGAATGATGGTGGGGGTGGGGGGTGTTGTATGGAAGATGAGATGGCCGGTCGCCGTTCCTGCGCAGCACTCCATGGCGATGGAGGGGTACAACCCCTCCATCGCGCTACACGTGTTGTCGTTGATGGTCGTGGTTGGAGCGCGCAGATCGGTGGTGTCACGACGTCGAGAGTCGTCATCTTCGTGCACGTGTTGTTTTAGTGTGCGGTGACAGTACAAGGCAGGTGGAGGTTTATTGTGTCAGCAATCCACCTGCTAGGTTTTTTTTTTTCGTTGTGATTAGTTTGTCATTGGAGCAAAGATCGTAGATCTGCTCCAAAGCCTTGTGTATTAGGCCATTCCACGACACGCCAGGAATGAAGTAGAAGGCAGGTGGAGTACGTCGTTGCTGTGGTGCGCTTCGAGGGTGTACAGTTGGACTCGTGTTTTCGAAGTCCGCGTCAATATTCGTTTGCGGAAGGAATGCATGTAATTGAAGTCTCATTTCGTGAGTGAGAATTGTGTACTCGCATGTCCATGATTCATTGCTCAAAGTTAGTTTTGTTGTCTTTCGTGTGAATGTATCATGTATGGAATGCGTTGATAGTGATTGTCGTGTCCTTCAAATCTTTTGCTTCTGCAAGCGGCCCTTCGTCGGATGTGTGTCAAGTCTGCGTCCTTATCATCGCCTGCACCTGCGAAAACGGGAACGACAAAAAAAACAAAACAGGACGAGAGAAACGAACCTGGCCACGCACTGTTGCAACGCATTTGCTAAAGAACAAAATTGAAATGTTTCGTTTCTCAATGTACATGAATCCTCATTGCCGCATTCATGCGTCAACGATGACCCTGAGCAACTGCATAAAATTGCACACAGTGTGTGAATGACAAACATTTTGAATGAGGTTGAGAAAGAAGTCGGTCGCTGAACGAAAGGAAGAAGCGGAATGCACGAAGAAGTCATCACATAGCAATCAAAACAAGCGCAGGAGTCGACAATATCGTTCAATTTGAAATAAAGCAGCGCTGTAAACCACATACTCATAAGCTCGCCGAGGAGCTGGCAACCACCCCACCCACACCCCCACCACCACCGACATCGTTCAATTCCAAACAAAGTGCACAACCGAACCACTGCCGACATGACGTCGAACGACTGCAGAGCCACGTCACTGGGAACCATAGACGAATTGGACAGCCGCACTACCGTCGACCATAAGAACGAACTCCGAAGAAGACCGCCCGCGACCGAAAACCATCTGTTTTGTCGCGCACAAAAGCGAAAGAGGGCGAACCCTCCTAACTAATCGAAGACGGTAGAACACGACTCGAAGCAAGTGTTCCGCGCGTGAAAGACGCAGGCAGTGCACAAGATCACAGGTGTTTCATTCGCTCCGCCAGCGCGTCGTGGAGCGCGAGGGCGGGACCGGTGGACGTCAACATCGACACTGGCTGCAGGGGACGATGAATCCCCAGGTCCACTCGGCGCCTCACCCCGTTCTCGTCGACCTCCCACAACAAATTCTCGTCGAACTCGACACCGGCATCGAGGAGGACATTGTGGAGAATGCAGACTGCCGTTAGCTGCTGCGGTAGTGTTTCCAGGTTTTTCTTGTGTGTCCGCAGGAAGAGCCTCCACATCCCCTTCAACCTCCCGAACGCCCTCTCCACAACCCCTCTTGCGACCTT